TCAAGAACTGCAAGAGAATTTGCCTTAAGTGACAATGCCCTGGGATTTCCAGAACTTGGAACTCAAAGGGTTATTTTAGACTACTGGTTAAAAAAACAAGCCTCTAAACAGGGAACAAAATGAGAAGGTCTTTGAAAAATTCCTTTGCATACTATTATTATTATTATTATTTTTACATTATGGGTTTATCAGCTTTGGGGACAAAATTGTTGTTAAGCTTCTGATAAAAACATCACTGGCTGAAGAATTCTACACAGAGAAAAAAATACTTGGTATTCTTAAATGACAGTATGTGCAAAATAAATTGCTTTATTAAGTGGAAATTCAAAGAGAGATGCACATCTTGATGACTTCCTAGCACCACACAGTAAACTGCAATAATTAAAATGAAACAAGGTCAGTGTGTTGAATTAGCTGATTACATATTAAAGGTGCACAATGCAGGTAACTGTATACTAAAGACTTTCTACAAATGATGCAGTTTAAGCTTAGTTCAAACCTGCCTGACAAAAATGAAGCTGTCAAGTTTAAATGATACTCTTGCTGTCCTAGTTAGCTGGAATTAAAGACCGATGGTTTTTCCCTTGAGGGAAACAGTACTTTAGGTACATGCAGTGCTGAAAGCAATGGAAATAACAGGATTCTTAATTCACAAAAAGTGAGTAAAAAATTGACTAATGTTTTTATTCTAATATGTGCACCTTTAGTTGTGTAATGGTCCCTTTAACTGAAGAATGGGATATAATTTTCCACTTGCATACGAACTTCTTTGAAATAACCAAGAGTATGGCATTGCCTGGTCTGGCTTTGGATGTACATTGTACTGAAACTATGGAATTTTAGTAATTTCTTCTACACATTTACCTGAAAGTTAAAATGGCTAGTAAACTGCATTCTGACTGTAGAATTTAAGTACTAAATAAACTCTATGCATATCAGACCTGCTTCACTTGCTCTCGTGTTTTGTGCTGCTGTGGGATCAGCACAGTCTGCAGCTGCCTGGCCCCCTGGAAGGCCATTCCTGAAAGGCAGTACAGACTGAGACCTCAGAGTGCAGAGGAAAGATGAAAGCTGTCACTCTCTAAAGCTGCCAGAATCTTTATTCCCTTTTCTGTTCCATTGGACACACGATTTGGGAGCTGGGTGATCAGGCACTGGAATACAGGAGAGGCAGACATGCACACAACAATATCACTACAAACTGGGTTTGCTTCACACTTCAGTTTGACAGAGAAGGATTATATTTAAAGAAACCATTAAATAAAACTGACAATTTATTGAGACAAAGCTAGAAAGCAAACTAATGTGCAGCAAAACCCACAGGATTGTTTTTTCAGAGCCTGGGCTTCCCTGGAGCAGGATGTAATCACCATGAAATGACATCACTGTCTCACTAAGAGCCCCAAGAGTTACATAATGTTTGCTAATTACCATCAGGGTTGTGGGAAAGCTGAGGCAAGGACACCAAGTAATTCACCAAGTCCATAAAGTCTGTCAGAGTGATCTGTAATTCAGAAAGCCATGGTTTGAAGTTTTTGAGTGCAGCTCATGCTGTGTCTGTGATCTTGTGATTTCATCTGAAATTCTGTTCATACAGAGGAAGACGAAGCTAAGCTAGAGATGATTTGCTCTCATTTGACACTGATGAATTAAAGGAAGCAGTCTGCCTTCCTCATGAAGCTTTTGAGTATCTGTTGCACCTCCAACACAAGTCCCATTGATAAACACTCTTGGGACCTATCAAGAAAACAAAAGTTGCATTAGTTTCTTCTTGGGAAAAAGGTAAACATTCAAGCAAGCCCATGTGGACTCCAGTACACACAATCACTGTGTTCTTCTAGATGTGTGTATAATATTAGTGTACAACCCATACTTGTCCAGAATATTTACAGAGATGAGAAACTCTACGTGCCCCTCAAAAGTGGGATGAACACACTGCATGGGTTATTGTAATAAATTCCAATAACTGAGTAAAGTGAGAATATGTAAAATAAAATAAAGGTGTTAAACACAGTGATTTAAATATACAAATGAAAAATGGCTTTGATATTATTATTTCAGTGGCAGTATGGCAAAGATCAGCTCTGAGGGACAGCCAAAGGGGTTCTAGAAGAAGAGACCTCCTGCAGTGTTTAATTTAGGAGCTTGTATCCCAAATTTACCAGTCTCAAAACAATTAAGCACTTGCTGTGGATATAACCCAGGAGTGATGTGTGCAGCCCAAATTGTTACTTGTCATGTATAAGAGAATATACTCACTGTTCTGCCACCAGTCATGTGTTCCAGAATGTCTTGGAACTGCCTTCCATTTGCATTTAGGTCCAGTTCCACAGCTGTGTAATTCACGTTCAAACCCTCAAAGAGGTTTTTTGCCATTTTGCAGTATGGGCACGTTGTTTTAGAGAAAATCACCACACAGTTGTGTGAAATAATGTCCTGTGTGCTCAAAAGAAAGTTAGAAGTCAGCGAGCTTCGAGGCGATGCACTTGGAACACTATTGAACAGTCGTGAAAGTAATACACAAGTTAAAAAGCTGCTGTTAGAACAGCAAACCTCTAACAGCAGGAAAACCTCTGCTGGCACCAGCTTTGACTTGCTCCTGGCTCCAAAACAGCACAAGGATGGTGGAGTGTGTGGTACAAACTCTGCTCTGCAGTCTGCCCAACTCCCTGTGTCCCCCTCAATTGTTTAGGAGTTTTCTTTGTCCCTAAGGCACTTGGGATGTGCCAGTGGCAAGCACAGTGACCAAAAGCAGTGGGTGGAAGATACACCCTTATCACTTTACTGTAAATTCAAGGGGGTTTCAGGCTATCATTTACTATCAGTAAATTTATGAAAAAACACAACTTCTAAAATATTTAACTTTACTTGGTATCAGTAATTTTATAATTTTACAAGGTTCTATCCCTGATGTTGACAGCAGCACTGAATTTGAATGGAGTTCTTAAAAAAAAAACAAACCCTTAAAATGGATGCAGCCTAGGAAGATCAGGTCCCAGGGCTGTGGATAAACAAAACTGCCTTGATAACCACAATGAACGTAGGAACAGGTTCAACAGGCAGAACTATTTACAGTATTTCTTTGTGTAAATAAGGAAAGTAATTGGCTTTTATAAATGCTGAAAATCAGTAAAAGCAACAGAAATAATGCTACCTGTATTTGATTCACAGCAGCATCATACGACAATCCTACAGAGGTGGTCTGGCTGTTCCCCATTCTATAACTAAAAAGAAATGACAGTCAGATCTCCCAGCTTTCCAAGAATCGCCACATGGCCCCGCGTTTTGCTTCGGTTTTCCACTGACTGCGCCATGGAAGTTCACTTGAGCTGCAGCGTGTGCAGCCAGCCCGCTGCTCGTGTGCCTGCAGGGAAGGGCAGCGGCCGCGAACAGCCCGGGCGGGCCGTTAGGGAAAACGGGAACCGCTCCGCGCCGCCCGCGACAGACACACACAGGTACACACAGACAGACACACAGATACAGACACAGACACACACACAGGTGTGACACCCGCGACATGGCGGCACCGCCCCGCGACCGAGCCCTGCCCTCATCCCCAACCCCGTCGCTCTCCCAATCCCGATCGCGGGCCCGGTCCTTGTCCCGGTCCCTGTCCCAACCTCAATCCCGGACTCGGTCCTTGTTCCGATCCCGATCCCCGTCCTTGTCCCGGTCCCTGTCCCCCCAATCCCGATCGCGGGCCCGGTCCTTGTCCCGGTCCCTGTCCCAACCTCAATCCCGGACTCGGTCCTTGTTCCGATCCCGATCCCCGCGTCCTTGATCTCGGTCCCTGTCCTAACCCTAATCCCAGTCGCGGTCCTGGTCCCGATCCTTATTATGGACCTTCTCCCTGTCCCGATCTCTGTCCTTGTCCCGGTCCCTGTCCCAACCCTAATCCCAGTCGCGGTCCTGGTCCCGATCCTTATTATGGACCTTCTCCCTGTCCCGATCTCTGTCCTTGTCCCGGTCCCTGTCCCCATGCGGATCCCGATCCCGGTCCCTGTCCTTGTCCCGGTTCCTGTCCCGACCCTAATCCCGGTCGCGGTCCCGATCCCTGTTCCGGACCCTCTCCTTGTCCCGGTATCTGTCCCGATCCCGGTCCCGATCCCTGTCCTTGTCCCGGTCCCTGTCCCGACCCCAATCCCAGTTCCGGTCCCGATCGCGGTCCCTGTCCCGATGCCGATGCCAGTCCCGGTCCCGGTCCCTCCTTATCTCTATCCGTGCCCCGATCCCGATCCTTATCCCTGCCGCAGTCCCAGTGCCGATCCCAGTCCCTGCTCAGGACGGTGTCCTTGTCCCGACCCCAGTCTCTATCCGTGTCCCGCTCCTTATCCCGTTCCCGTTCCCATCCCGGCCGGGCGCCCCCGGCCCGCACTCACCGCCCCCCCCAGGCGGCCGCCACGCGGCGCAGCGCCCCCTGCAGAGCCATGGCCGCGGCAGGAAGACAGGTGGGCCACACAGGGTCAGCACAGGCCAGCACAGGAACAGGGAGAGCACAGGGACAGGGCCAGCACAGGGCAGCTCGGGATGGGGCAGCTTTCCCAGGATGGGTCAGGAGAGGCATGAAGGTGCTGGGTGTCCCAGAGGCCCCGGAGCCGCTCCCGCTGTGGGGCAGCTCGGGGACGTTTGGCCTCCTGCCTTGCAGACGTGGGGGTTTCGGCGGTGCCTTTGCTTTGTCCGATGTACAACTTACTTTAAATCTTCTCCGTCCCCGTTTCTGTTGCCCGTTCTTCCTCGCGTTCCTCTCCCGCCTTGCAGTTCCTCGGTCAGAAACTGAGCTGTGAAACAGCAGAGTTGGGAACGGAGTGAGTGATGGGTGGGGGTGAAGAGCTGCCCCTGGCACCTGGGGAGTTGTGTCAGTGGAGCTGGCTAATCGTGTAATGTGTGGGATGTTTTAGTGGCTCCTAGAAATAAAGAAAGGGGAGGTTTTAATTTTGTTGTTGTTGTTGTTGTTTTGTGGGGGTTTTTTTGTTTTTGTTTTTGTTTTTTTTTTTTTTTAATTTCCTCAGTCTGCCCAGTAAAAGCTGTTCAACAATATTCTGTTATTTCCCCCCACATACCTTGGTGTGGAGCCTGGTCAAACGAGTGTCCTTGGCAGAGCTTTCCTGGGGAATATCCTCTGAGCATCCCCTCACAAATATTTCAGTAGTGGAGAAACTTTTCTACACCCTCTTAGCTGAGAGGGTAAATTGTGCTCTGGATCACTGCTCACTGTTCAGCCCTATGTTTTAAAAAATACTGCAAGGAAATGCACACATGTACTGATTTGGTTTTGTATCAGTCACGTGTATCTGTGAAAAAGGGAATGTGTGTTCATGCATGATGTATCTTTCTATTATCTTTCTGGATGTTGATTAATCTTAAATGAATTTACCTATGATGAAAAATTGTCTAATGCTTTGCAACTTAATTTTGCTTTCCTACAAAACATCAGTATAACCTGTTAAAGTACTGAGAAAATGCAATTGAAACATTTTACCCATGTCATATTTCTTCATTTGGCTAAATGGTAACTTGCTCATTTCAGATAATTATTTTATAGCCTAATCTTCTGTGATAAAACTAATAAACTCTCAGGTATCTAATGCCACATGAAAATAGTTTCATATCAAATCCTGATTCAATGATATAAATGTTGGTTAGTAATGTCACTATGATCCCCAATGGAAACTGTGAGAACTATTTTGTAAACTCCCAGTTAATACTTGTAATGAAAGCGTTAGGTTAAGAGTAAACCCATTCTAATTTTGCATTAAATGTGGCAGAAAATCACCCCCCTGTCATTCCAGCTGCTCCTCAGGTATCAGAGGGGCTGGCAGAGCTGGGTTTGGCTTCTGAGCTGGGGCCAATTCAGCAGCAGACATGCAGAGCTGGTGTGACACTGGAAGGAGATGACCTTTGGGGTTCCTTCCAACCCAGCCCACGCCGTGGTTCTGTGCTGGTGGTGAGTACCCTGTGTGCAGAAGGGTGTGTGAGCCCGTGAAATATGAACCATACATGTGGGGGGATAGAAGATAAGAAAATAAAGATAGTGCAGAGAGTAATCTCAGCCCCAAGGAGTTGCAGCTGGGCCAATTACCAAAGATTAGGAGCAGGCCTGACTTTAACAGGCCACAGCTGTGACCAGTGAGAAGAAGAGTGCTATAAAAGAGTGGGCTGGCAGGTTGAGAAGGAATTGGAGTCAGTTGGCTGCTTGGTGAGGAAGAGAGAGTCAGTGCTCTGAGGAGCTGCCCACGAGAAGATCCCAAGAAGGTATGAATAATAAGGAGATGACAATATGAAACTTTTGCAATAATATGACAACACATGCAGCCAGCCACAAGCACAGCCAGTGGGGAGGTGCCAGTGTAGCAGTAAGAGTATAGCACAAACACAGGCTGGCTTTCTGAATTTCCCCAGCAAGCACCCGCTGCAGCCGAGCACTGCAGCCTTACCCAGTAGGTGTTCCTGTGGGGAGGAGATGGGTAGAGCCCTCTGACAGTGCCAGGAATCAGAGATGGAGTCTCCTCTGACCTCCCTTACCACTACAGCTGTATTTATATTGTTTCCAGTCAGTGACAGGCGAAGGTGAAGCTGTGGCTGACATAATTTCCTGTTTAAGTGGAGTTTGATTTTAGTCATGAGCATATAGGGGGGTACTGACACAAAGCTGGGTCATGGTTTGGGTCATTCCTTTGGCCTAGTTCCTGCTCCCTGCATTGTTCCTGCCAGAGCATGACCACAGCACCTCTGTGCCTCTCCATCTTCTGTTTCACACCTGCATTGATTCCAGCAGGGCGAGACCAACTCGCTCCCTGCTTTGTTCCCTCCTCCCAGAGCAGCACACCGACAGGGATCCTGCTCCTGAGGTGCAGGCAGCTTGTCCCTGCTGAGCTGCTGCCCGGGCACACACTCCTTGTTCAGCTTTCTTTTTCAGTGCTCTCCCCAGTGAAGGCAGCCTGGAATGAAAAAATGAACCAGAATGACAAAGTTTTCTGGAAACTGAAAATAAATCTCTTTGCAGCTGACTGTGTGCGACATTCCCAGCTCCTGAGCAGCAGAAGGGAGCAGAACTGAAATGAGGGGCTTTTTGGTGTCATTGCAACAGTGACTGTGTCCCATTGAACAGAGGTATTACTTGTAGTGCAGTAGATGTACAGGGGATACACTGGGGCTTTTGGATGAGGCATGGAAATGGGACTTGGCCTGCTGGAAGCGTTTCATGTCCTGTTCCAATTTTCCTAAATGAGGGGCTTTTTGGTGTCATTGCAACAGTGACTGTGTGTCCCACTGAACACAGGTACTACTTGTAGTGCTGCAGGTGTACAGGATGTGTTTCTGAAGAGGTAGCACTGCTTCAGGGGATACACTGGGGCTTTTGGGTGAGGCATGGAAATGGGACTTAGCCTTCTGGAAGCATTTCACATCCTGTTCCAATTTTCCAGAGCTCTAGCTCATGCAGTCATAATTCTAAATCCAGTTCAGGAAATGATATTGTTTATTCATTATGCCTTTGTCTTCTAAACACATCAATATTACTCTATACACATCAATATTTCTCTATACCCATTGACAAATAAATACTGGCAGTGATTGGTATAATTCCCACGTTACTGGGTGTTGTAGTACATATTTGTGTGCTAGACTATTTCAATACCATATCTGAAATGTTTTAGATTTGTGGTGCTCTGCGTGTTGTTCTGACACAGATGGGAATATCACTAACGTATTGAAACAGGGAATTCTATCGGTTGTTGGCTTTTAGTCTGTTTTTTCAGTCTCAGCATGTTACTTACAAGAAGAAAAATGACCCAATTCTGCCTTTTTCAAATTTAAGATGGTATCATGTTTTCTGCCAATGTTGGGGGGGTGTTAAGAAAATTCGGAGCATCAAAGGTTAGAGTAAGTCATGATGAGAGCTTGCTTTGGGGTGTCAAATGCTGCAATCAGAATTCCCCAGGGGTACCAGTTTGTTTGGTTCTGCTGGGAATGCTGTGCTCCTGGTTTTTGTGTGTTTGAGCAGAAGAAATGAACATGGAGCGAGCACGTGCCAGCTGCAGCTGTGCAGTTGCTCAGGTGAGCAAACAGAGCAAACTGAGCTCCGAGATCCCAAATTCTGCAGGGTAACATGGGATGTGCTCCATGGCATTACTGTTTGTCCTTCTTCAGATTTACAGGCAACATTTTCCTAATGACATTTTTTTTTTTTGCTATGGTCTTTTGATGGCTTATTTGTATCAGAATTTTTATGATTGATAAAGCAGAGACTTTGCTCTTTTTTTATATCCTAATTCTCCAGGGTAACATGGGATGTGCTCCATGGCATTACTGTTTGTCCTTCTTCAGATTTACAGGCAACATTTTCCTAATGACATTTTTTTTTTTTGCTATGGTCTTTTGATGGCTTATTTGTATCAGAATTTTTATGATTGATAAAGCAGAGACTTTGCTCTTGTTTTACCCAGCTTTATATCCCGGATACAGGAGATTTTCTCTCCAGCATGCAGAGTGAGATACAAACACAGTGTCTGAGAGACGCAGAGTCACAGAACACCCTGGGTGGGAAGGGACCCACAAGGATCATGGACCTGAACTCCTGTCCCTGCACAGGACACCCCAATAATCCCAGCATGTGTCTGAAACATTGCCCAAAAGCTTCTGGAACTGTGGCAGGTGTGGGACCATTGCCTGACCACCATCTGGGTGAGGAACCTTTCCCTAATGTTCACCATAAACTCCACTGACACTGCTTCCTGCTGCTCGTTTTCTTGAGGTGTCACCCCAAACATCCCCAGACCCCTCTCAGGGCCCTTCAAAACCTCTTTAGTGTCACTAAAGCCCCTCCAAGTACACCACAAACCATCCCAGCCCCCCCAACACCCCTCAAGCCTCCTCAGCACCCCAAATCCATTTCAGCTCTCTCCAACCCCTCCCTAAAGCATGCCCTGAAGCCCCATTAGCACCCCAAATCCCTTTGAGCACTCTCTAAAAACCTCTTTAACCTCACTAAGACGCCTCCCAGTGTACCACAACTATCCTAGCATCCCAAACCCCCCTCAGACCTCAGCCTGAGACCCTTTTTAGTTGTGCTTTACATTCCACGAATGCTTCCCAGCACCCTGAAAAACCCCATTAGCACCCCCAAATCCATGCCGGCACCCCTAAAGCCCCGCTAGCACCACACACTCCTTCCAGCACCCTCTAAAATCTCTTCTCCAGACCAAAACTCGTCGTTTCCCCCGCCCAAACCAGCCCAGCACGCCCGCGGAGCGCGGCGCAGCCCCGCGCTGTGACTCGGCGGCCACGCGGGAGCATCAAAGCTCCAGAGAGGAGAAGCACGCCGATAAACTCCGGCAGCGATTGTGCGTGTGAAGCTCTATTTTCACATAAAACATGAGAAAGCGCTGCGTGCTCAGCACGGACGAAGCCGCACCCACACCGCCCGGGCCGCCCTGAGGGCGCGGCCGCCGTGAGGGACAGGGGGCGTGGCTTCCCCAGCACCGCCCCTCCCGGCCGGGGGCGGGCCCACGTCGCTCCCATGGCAACGCGTCCGGCGTCGCCCCGGTAGGCGGCGCGGCGGCGTCGGGCATGGTTCGTGTCCAGGGGGCGGCGGCCGGAGCGGTGGCGGCCGGGCGAAGATGGCGGACGTGCTGAGCGTGCTGCGGCAGTACAACACGCAGAAGAAGGAGATCGTGGTCAAGGGCGACGAGGTGATCTTCGGAGAGTTCTCCTGGCCCAAGAACGTCAAGACCAACTATGTCATCTGGGGGTGAGCGGCAGGGCCGGGCCGAGGGGCGGCGGGGGGAGAAGTTGCCCCGAAGTTGCGCGGGGCGGCGGTGCCGCCGTCCTTGGCGCTGCGCGGGCGGCGGGGCGGGCGGGCTGCAGCCGCCCCCGCTCGGCCCCGCCGCCGGCGCTCCCGTGCCCTGGCAGCCCGGCGGGGCGGGCGGGCTCGCCGCTCCCTTCGCGAACGTTCCCGGTCGTGCCCGGAGCCGCGCCGCGCTCGGCTCCCGGCGCTCCTGCCGGGAATCCCGCAGGCTCACGCGTGAGAGGGCAGCAGGCTCCGCTGCTGCTCCCGAGCTTGTCCGGGTGTTGGTGAAGAGGACGCGCTGCGGTGTTGCTCGGGCAGCGCTCTCGGCACACGGGGGGTTCTGGGGTGTTCTGCGCGGGGCCGGGAGCTGCACCCGGGCATCCCGAGGGGTCCCTTCCCGCTGTGATTCTGTGGTTCTGTCCGGGCTGCTGCTGGTCTCCCGGAGCTTGGACAAAGCCCCGCTCGCTGTGAGGGGCTGTGCAGGTGCTCTGCCCCACCTGAGGCCTCTTCCTGGGCAGGACCTCGTGCGGGCTGTTTCCTATTGGTCTTACCGGAATAAACAACTGGAAACAGTGTTTATGTGGCTTAAACGATTGTAGTAGATAAAATGCCCGGTTGTAGAGCATCTCTAGAAAATGTGGGGTTTTACCTGTTGAATTTCCTAGTACACCATGGGTTGCTTACATTGCAAAGGAGTTTTTTGTTTGCCTTTCTTCAGAATTTAACAGGTGCTTGCTTCTTAGTGTCCTCACTAGAAGGGTTCCAATGAATCTTTTTCAAACTTAAGAGGGAAAAATGCTTATTTTTAAAGGTCCTGATCAAAGAGGACATGTTACGCCGTGAACATTTGTAGAAAAGCAGAAGTGCCTGCAGATTTCTCAGAAAACCCTGAACTTGTAGTTAAGTCAGACCAGCAATTATTATTTTTTTCCCCCATAATTATGATATGACTATTACTAGCCTTAGATTGAGAGAGAGAAAAGCAAGTAGGCTTAATTACGAGGGAAAAATGCTTATTTTTAAAGGTCCTGATCAAAGAGGACATGTTAACCGTGAACACCGAGGACACCGTGAACATTTGTGGAAAAGCAGAAGTGCCTGCAGATTTCTCACAGAACTCCAATCTTGTAGTCAAGTCTGACCAGCAATTATTATTTTTTCCCCATAACTATGATATAACTATTACTAGCCTCAGATTGAGAGAGAGAGAAAGGAATTAAGCCTACTTGCTTATCTTCAGTTGTAGGTGGACTTTTCATAGCTAATTTTACTTTGCACCTTATATATTACTAGAAATCTGCTTTTTCATTACCTGTTTTAAGCTTTCAGGAATTAATTTTGGAGCTATTTGTGCTTCCTGGCTGAGTGGGGGATACTGGTATGTACTGAAGAGGAAGAAAAATATTTGGACAAGCAGTTAAAGTCTTGGCTGTGTTTTTGCTGGGCACTGTGTAACAGATGTGGTGGTTTCCCTGCTATAAGCTGCCTTTCCCAAGGGGCAACAAGTAGTGGTTAGGTGGACAAACAAGTTCATTGCCCTTCTGCAGGGAACAAGAAACTGATATGCCAGCCCTCTACTATTGCTCAGGAGAGCTTGGATTAGACCCAAAAAGAAGTTCATTGCCCTTCTGCAGGGAACAAGAAACTGATATGCCAGCCCTGTACTGCTCAGGAGAGCTTGGATTAGACCCAGAAATTGTTACCAAAAGCCTACAAGCAGCTGGAGAGCAAACTGTGCTTTGTTCAGGTCAGGAAGGGTGTGTGGGTGAGCAGGGGGTTCTCTGAGCACAGCAGCAGCTCCTGCCACAGCTCAGTGCTCCCCTCCTGGGGTGCCTGTGGTGGAATTCGAGGGGTTTGTTGGGGGTGAGTTGCTGAATCTTGGTTTAGAGCAGTGCCTCCTGAGTTTTTGATAGGATCAGGCTGCTCTCAGTTCACAGCATTTCTTGTCAGCCACAGTGGCATTTTGCATGTCTCAGCTTTGAATTGAAGACACTGTAAAAACGAGACCAGTTCTGCAAGCCGTGCTCAGCAGCTTGGACACCACACTTCAAGAGCTGCTAATTTAGGTAATTGCTGCACTCAGGAGGGACCTTCTCAAAAAACTTTCAAGATTCAAACCCTTTTATATTCAGGTCACTTGGCAGGATCCAAATTATGCTTGCACTGAGCAGGTGTTGGGGGCTTAATCTTTCACAGAACAAACCCTGAGTTCTGTTTGAGGTGTCCCCAGCACGGTTGCTGTAATTGCATCTCCAGCCTGAGGAGAGTAATGCCAGGCTGAAGAGCAGCAGTGGCATTTGGCCCTGCTAGAATTAGAAGTAGTCCCAGGAGACATTTAGCTGTGGCTCCTCGAGCAGCTTAGCTGGCAGAAGTCAGCAGTGCTGCCCTGCATTGCCTCTCTCTCTAGCACAAGTGTCACCCAAACAGGGAATTGGGCTGAGGAATTGAGCCAAGTTAAAGGTAAGCTGGAGAAAAAACAAAAAAAAAAGAGTGTGATGGGGAAAGCAACTTTAATCCAGTTTAGTTTCTAGGTAATAATTCCAGGGATGCTCCTGCTGGCACGTGAAAAAGGCTAGGTGGTCTGGGATGAAGTGGTTTGTGTTTTGACCTATGGGCCCTGAAGAGTGATTAATGAATCTGTTTCAAAACCAAAGGAAGGAATTAATGTACCAGAGAAATGTATTGCTTTGTTTGCTAGTCAAGGGGCTTGGATATGCAGCTGAGTTTTCAAACAGTGAGCAGCTGGCCCTGGGTATTGTCACTTGTGTGATACTCAGTGTGCTTTGTCTTGTGTTTTTAAAGATTTCTCCTTGGGTTTGTCTGGATGAGATACAGGTCCATAGTACCTCTGTAAAACTTCAGGCTTTGAAACAGGAAAGAGGAAATAAAGCTGTTAAAAATGAATAAATTCCTGGTGCCCACAGGTGGAAGGTGAATGGATGAGAAAGAAGTCAGTTTCTGGTTTTAAAAATGAGCAGGTGAAACTTACTCTCTCCTGTCATATAAACATTTTCTCCATTTTTAAGCTGGAGTTTGTAAGAGATGCAACCATTCCTTATTTTTTACTTTAATGCTTGTCACTGGGTTTGTTGAGGTCTGCCCCCTAAGATTTTAATTTTTTTCTTAAGTAATTCGTGCCATAACTGAATATCAAAAATAACAGAATTAATTTCTATTTCTACTTTGGATGTTTGTCAATGGAATGAGGCAAGCTACCCTCAGATCTGCCTGTTTTTAGTTCTCTGTTTATTTAGCAGGAGCACACACTGATGTTGAAATGTCAGTTTAGGCTTAGGTTTTCTCCTTGCGTGCAACTGCTTGTCCATCTGATGATTTCCTGTTAGTGTGCAATATCTTGTGCTGCTAATAAAACATCCTCTCAGAGCCATAATGAGCACGGGCAATTCTTGTGTGTGTGGTTGGAGTGATGAGGTACCAGCTGTGCCCTGCTGAGCTTTGGCAGTGCCTGTGGCTTTGTTGCACTGTATTGTTTCAATTAATAGATAATGCCCCAGTATTTGTTTGTTTTTATACTTGTCCTTTATTGCTAAATATTGTAAAGTTTGAGTAGATGACCAGCTGGACTTTTCTATTGTGCTCAGTGCACACTTCAAAGAAATAATGAGTGATTCTGAACTAAGACAGTCTGAAGTGTTTGTTTTAAAATGAAGTGACAGCTGTATCATGTGACATCATGGCTTGCTTCAGAGCCAAGCCTGTGCAGAGGAAGCTTTTGTTTCTGCTGGTGCTTCCAATGTGTTTAGATACCACCTTATCAGGGACCCTTACTGCTTTGCTGCCTGTTCAAACAGTTCCTTGCTGAGGAATCCAGTTCTGGTGGCTGCCTGTAGTTGTCAAGCCAAGTTTTGGCTTCTTAGCAGTTGAAAGAAAAATCCTGTGTGTCT